ATACAAAATTGAAATTTAAGGTAAGACTTTGTTTGGATAATACAAAATACCTTCTCTGTTTTGCGTGATATGACTATGTTATTGAAACACTGAATCYTACTGAAAACATTGTTTTATGGAACATGCTTAGTACCTGCAAAGACGATAGTTTGTACAAGCCGTCTTTCTAACGAAGGCGCCTCATCAATACCAATTGGAATCAAGACATTTTCTGGTCGTCCAGTTATTTTTTCCAAATCGGGTCGATTGTCTGGACTTCCAAAATTGACGCTGTAAATCTTAACATTTTCTCCTCGTAACGTCTTAGCAGTGAGTTCTCTGTTTTGCTTATTCTCTGGAGACAATGAACCAGTGCTTAAGACAACAACGACCTATAATTAATAAGACAGGTAAATGGTTTTCTTTTCCTCAGAAAAGTTGATTAAATTAATGAGTAATAAAGGCAGACAAAGAGGACCTGCGGTATTTCAAAGTCCAGTCAATCATTTCGAGTCCGATGCGCTGCCGACTACCCAGGCACATTAGGGGCGAACCATTTAACTCTTGAGGGGAGGGGGGAGGGATGATTTTGTCCGTTTAAGAATTTTTCTCAAAATTTCTAATTTTTAAATTTTTATTCTAAACAAAGTAGTTAGTCATTATTGAGCACAACTGTAATTCAAAGACCTTTGTGGTTTTATTCAGAAGTACAAGGAGCAGCTGCTGTTACCCTGGCTGTACATTGTACATTGACCTCTCAAATCTGTACAGTTATCTAAAGTGTACCTTTCTAGCATTAGGCCTCCCTCCAAAGTTGGGTTTAAAAGCTTCCTGTGCCATCTCCAGGCCCATTTGAAGATCTTTTCTGATACCACCTTGTGGTTTAACATTGTCAATTTGGCTTCCTACAGAGTCCGCGCTGTATGGATAATTGGGTGTAGGTTTAATAGGGAAGCCAATTCTTACACCAGCACCACTGCCATATACAACATAGGCTACATGGGTACCCCTGACAGACACATCGAAATCTTTCATTACGTTCTTGCTGAATGTCTTCATCCTTGGCCAGTCAACACCTTGCGAGGTGTCCACTACGAAAACCAAATCGATGAATCTTGGCCTCCCTTAAACAGTACAAAACAGTAAAAAATCAACAGGTCGACACGTGTAAATAATGCAGTTTTCATAAAGGAAGAAAAATTGAAAGGATTGTTGTGGACTCGATCATTTCATATGCTTAAAAWAGTCAATCATTGAGACAGCACTCTGCTTTGATAGTTGCCAGCGGAAACTGGATTTCATAATATTTGCAGGAGATTAACTCTAATTTTATTAAGACATTTCTTTTTTTTTTTATTAAGACATTTCACAATGGTTGACAGGTGACGCAGGACCACGAAAGAATTTCAGGAATTTAACGATCAAAGTGGTCGCTAGTCTCCTCGCAGCCGTGTTTAGTTTCGGTCACGCGTCACGCAACCTCTGCGTTGCGTGACGCGTGACCGAAACTAAACACGGCTGCGAGGAGACTAAGTGGTCGCAGCAGGGATATAAAAATTTGTGCCCATTCCACTGGTGCAAGGATCGACTGGCAGCAGTTTTGGGATATTTGTTTCAGTACGGTGATAGAGTAAATACCACTATTTAGTGCCTTCTACCTTCATTCACGGCAGGAGCAATGGCAGCTGCCGCTGGTCTCAATTGCCTGAATGATGGAACGTGTGTAACGTCATCAGCATAGTCTGCAAACGAGAGAGCTTCGGGTTGTTCAATACGACGCCCTACAGAAACTGGATAAAATCTGACCCCTCTTTTTTTAAGATTTTCAGCAGCTAAATATGCAGGTCTGTGCGGGCCATCTGGTTCATAAGACGTTGGRCCTGTCATCACTAGAAGAATATACTAAAATAGAAAAAAAAATATTTTTATTATTATATTTGGAAAAAAATATTGAAGTTTACATTTAACCATGTGAGTATCTTACAGAGAGCTTGCTCTCTCATAATTTACTTATTTGATACGAGGGAGCAAAACGTTTGTTATGCGACATTTTTTGTTTACCTGAAATCGTTGGTGCATACGATGGGGCTTTGCTCCGGGAGCATGTTGCAGGAGCGTGTAACGGGAGCAAGCTCCCTCGTGTGGACAGTTAACAGATTAATCTCATATACTAATTTGAAATGTGCACCTGTTTTTGCCACCAGGTAAAACCTTTATCAATCCCGACAAAAGACAGGCTGCAAAGGAGACTATTAAGATACAATCAGACCCTCCAATACTGACCTGTTTTGCACCCTTTCGAGCTCCACCCTTTGRGCTAAATAAATCAGTTTCTGCAAGCGTTATAGCTTTTTCCGTTCGTCTTTTAGTTCCTTTCCCTTGAGGTATCTTGTCAACTAATTCCTGGACACCAGTTGGGTTCAATTTGGAGCCAGCTAGGGTTCGGAAATTGAACTGAACAGTCGGTTCATTGGCATATGTAATCAGACCAACTCGRGTTCCATCCGGTGCAGGTGATATCTTAGGGAATCTTTTGACAAATTCTTTGGTGAAGTCTTTTAGACTTGTCCAGTCATTGACTGGTAAATCAGGTGATGAATCCAATAGAATACCAATATCTATCGCACCTGGTRCTGAAACCAAATCAACTCAATATAAAACAAAGAAATCCAAGTACCAAAACGGTACATTTCATTAATCRAGCTGTCAGTTTGCRAGACTGTACGTTGATTCAAATGACAGAGAACATGTGGAAGCCCGGTCACTCGCTAAAAACTCGCTAAATTTTATTRCCAGGTGGTACACTTTTGTTTTAGTGCAAATGAATTCCCCATGAAATGTTTCTAAAACACTTCATTGAAACGTTTCCACATACAGGACATGAAAGTATTAGAAAATAAACGACATTATATTATCGTTTCTAAAGCACTTCATTGAAACGTTTCCACATACAAGGAAATGAAAGTATTAGAAAATAAACAACATTATATTATCGTTATTCAAGCTGTACCTGCCGTTGGTCCTTCGGTCGTTGGGGTGGTAGGAACCAGTGTTGTTGTCTCTGTTTTCACTGCAAAACAGATTAAAACCTTCAATGATAAGACAAGCATTGACAAAATACGTCTTTTGACCCGTATTTTTTTACCAAAGAAATGGCTTAAAAAACGCTGTCATGTGATAAAATGCTTATTGACTGAGTTAGGTCGGGCCGTACGGGAAAATATTTGGCTCTCGGTCATTTGTACGCTGTCATATGATAAAATGCTTATTGACTGAGTTAGGTCGGGCCGTACGGGAAAATATTTGGCTATCGGTCATTTGTACGGACCTCGCTGCGCTCATTCCGTAAGGCATAATCTCGAGCCAAGTATTTTCCCGTTCTGCCCTCCCACACAGTCAATAAGTACATATTGTTAAATTTGCCATTTTGTACTGCAGGAAAACGCCTAGTTTTTAACTTAATGTCTCACCTGTTCTGAAACAATAATAAATTCTATTCAAGGCAGTAATTTTGAATATAATATTATTATAATATTATGTCTACTTTGAACTATAAAAATCACTTAGAATTCYTCCTTTTGGCCATGCAATCATTGTTCAAAGACTGACAATCTAAGATTTACCGAAAAACCTTCTTTGAAATAGCTTWATATWGAGTAAGTTTTGAYAATAAAGTATAAATATTCAATGCTCACCACATGGTCCTTTGCTAACGACTCTTATCATTTTCTTTTCTTTGCAGGCAGATGACTTCAGTACGCATTCATTCAGGTAMGTTTTTCCRTCAGATCCACAAACAGGACTAGAGAARGTAGGACAGCCCTGGCACACACACGTTGGTTGATTCTCTACAATTATACATCGTGCATAYGGGTCTATGCACTGGTGTGTCTTGCATGGATCTGGAATTAAAAATAATTGATAATCATCTTTAGGTAACAAGCACATATTCACTGACCATGAATGGTGAATGATCTTCATTATGAGTCAAATACCCGTCGAATTATGGTACCTGAATGTCTACATAAATATGCAGAATACAGGAATTGCCCGATTTTGGAAACAGAATTACCTGGTTTGGTTGGTGGTGTTGTAGTGGCTGTGAATCAAAAGTTAAAACCGTTATTTAGAATATAAGTTKTAAAATATTTCTATATTTTATCATCGAAATACAGAAATTGCCCGTTTTTGTAAACAAAATTACCTGGTGTGGTTGGTGGTGGTGACGTMGCTGGGAATCAAACGTTAAGAATATTAAGAAGAAATGTTGTAAAAATGCCGAATACTGAAATATTTCTATATTTAATATGCTATATATGATCATTAAAAAACTCATATATAATTAATGAGCTACTAGGCCAATAGAATGAGCCTATTGGGTCACATGCATGGACCTTTATATGTGATAAAACACTCCTTATTAGTATTCTTTATATAAAGAATACTAATAAGGGTGATCTTTATCAGATATAAAGGTCCATGACCCTAGCAAAGGTCTCAGGTTTGAAACCTGATCATTGACCAATGCAGGATGTCAACCGATTTCAGTGAACAGCCAAGAGCGCTTATATTTTACTTTATGCGTATTCAATGTGGGATGATAAGAGTGCTTTGTAAAGTGATTCGCGCATGATCAGTTTGCCCCATTTATCTCTGAACAAATCTGTACGGCAATTTCTCCAGGAATTTTAACGGATTTGAGTTTCAAATTAGTGTTGGAGTTTTTTAAGCCGTTTAAAACACTCGAGATCGTGTTTTATCAGGTATAAAGATTCTCGCCTTCGCCTCGAATCTTTATACCTGATAAAACACTCTCTCTCGTGTTTTAAACTATACATATTATGATTCAGGAGGTGTTCTAACTGATCAYCTGTAAGAAGTACATAACCAGAAGTGTCCATCTCGCTATTATCTAGTCACCATCAGATGTCCCGATAATCTATTTTTAGACAACCAATCACAACGCGCGCGCATATTACACACCTCCTGATTGGTCCTTGTTGATACTACTTCAAGATATAACACTTCTARTTATGTACTTCTGKTAATTATTAATAATAATAATAATGATAATCAATAATTATTTCATTGATATTGTACAGGTTCTATCTACATATGGYCAATTAAATCTCTACACCYAAAMTCAAAAATTAAAGAGCCATGATACAATTCTCTTAGTGCCAAGAAATTATGCACTGCAGAAACATAGGATAAACTGGGATACACCAAGCTGCATGCAATGCATCCATGCYTATACTCACGGCAATGTCCGCTGCTTACAACAGTAATAACYTTGTTTCTTTTGCAAGCATTGCTGATAAGATGGCATTTATTCAAGTAGCTCTTTCCATCCGATCCACAGACCGGCMGTCGGATAAAATTTGTACAAGGTATGCAAACACACATTGCTCTACCGTCCACTTCCAGACATCTAGAATGGGGATGACTACACTTGTATAAATCACATGGATCTATATGAAATCAGATAACTG